GCTCCCACCTCTGGGTTCCTCTGGACTCTTTTCTCCCTCCACCTGATCTGTTTCCATGGAAACTGCTGGGCTCCTGCATCCCTTTCATCCTTCTTTCTGGGAAGCAAGGCCAGCTCTCAGGCACCCCAGTAGCCAGGCCTAACCATTATAAAGACCAAAGAGGTAATATCTGGAAGAAATATTTCCAGGCAGAGGGAAGAACCAAACAGGGTTTCTGATTTTTTCCTTTGATGTTCTCCAAAATAACACCAGGTGCTCTGAGCAGCTCTGCCAATTACCTCGGCCGAGTGGATACTGTCTGGAACGCCATTTGTCATCTGTTCTCCTGCATCTCACCATTTCAGTCAGCAGGCCTCCCTCCCTTCTTGGGGGTGCAAGTCTGGGGTGTGAGGCAGAGGGCAAGACTTCTTTCCAGTCTTTGGTACTGGACTGGAGCACTCACGATGCCGCTGGTGGCCTGGGGGTGCAAAAGGGAGGATGTACCAAGCTTGCCCCTTCTGGAGAGGGAGGAAGCCACCATCAGCTGAGCGCCTGGGCATCTCAGGAACAGCAGACATGGCAAGCTTCCTTGCCACTAGGAGGCGCCCTGCAGCTCCAGAGGTCAGAAAAGGGGAAGTATTTTGTACATGCTGTCTTCCCCAGTGGCTTCCCCGACGGCTCAGCAGGTAAAGAATCCGTGCGCAGTGCAGGAGACACAAGAGACATGGGGTCAATCCCTGGGTCAGATAGAGCCCCTGGAGAAGGAAATGGTAACCCACTCCAGTATTCTTGCCTGGGAAATCCCAAGGACAGAGGAGCCTGGCGGGCTACAGTCCATGGGGTTTGCAAAGAGTCAGACACGGCCTTGGCACATGGGGCCAAGCACATCAGCGCCTTGGCACCTGGTCCACAGGGTCTCCATATGCCAGAGAAGCCAGAATGTTCCCTATATCCCACTCCTGCCAGGTCATGGTTGGGTGTTAATCTCTCTGAGCTTTGGTTTCCTTATCTTTAAAATGGGCCCAATTCTTGCACTGATAAGATACCTATGAAGACTTAACCAAGTAAGACACAGTAAAGCCCTCTTTTTAAAGTCATCTCAAGGTATCCTTGTGGTCCTCATCGTCGTTATAAATCGTGTGGGGAGATTCTGGAAGAGTAGCAGAACTTCAGATGCCCAAAAATAATCACAAGACTCAATTTAGATATAAACATAAAAAGAATTTTGTTTCTATAGTCACTGCTTTCAAATATGCTCATTGAATCTCTTTCTTATTCCTGAGTAATTTCTGGATCCATGCCCTTCTTCTCACATTCAGGTATTTAAACTTGGCCAGGTCCAGCTTAAAACTCCAGTCTCGCTCTTATTCAAAGCTCTCCTCCTCCCCCATTGCAAACTGGATGAGAGACCTGAGAGTCTTGGGTAGGGGCTGATCATGGAGAGGAGGGGTGGGCTGGCTTGGAGATGTCGCCTCCCTCAGTGAGTAGGGGGCCCAGGGCCAGGAGGAGGTCTTAGCTCTCTGGTCAACTTGGGTTGCAGGAACAGTGGGCTGGTCTCTAGGGAGTTTGAGGGCCCCTTGCACAGTAGAATGAAGGGTTTATTGGAGCTGTTTTCAGCTCTACCCTAGCTTCCTTCAACACCAAGAATCAACCAGGAGTATCTGGCTTCTACTCCTCCTTTTCAACTCCATGCACCTTTCCCAGAAACCACAGTGACCTCCAGGGGCTGCAGAGAACAGGGACGGGGTGGGGTGTGATCACTCCCATCTTCCTTCCAGGCCCAGGACAGGACAGCCTGAGCCTTCAGACAGCTCTAAGTCAGACAAAAGCACCAGTTCCGTCTTCATGTGCAGACTCCAGAATTCTGCTCGGGGAACAGGAGGGCCTGCCAGTGTCCCCTTACAGAAAGGCACCCCTCCTGACCTGGAGAAGTTTTCTAGAGTCTCCTCAACAGAGTGTGGCTTCAGAGAAACCACACATGCTCCACTCCCTGAAGACTAAGGTTCCTCCCTCTCCCCCAGGCAGCTTCTCCTTTCACAGCCCATGGCTTTGGTTGGAAGCAGAGGGCAGCCCAGCAGACAGAACACAAGATGCCTGGCTCCTGGGGAGGAGCTTTGCAAGTGGGGTACTCAGCCCCTTGTGTACTACTCTTTCAGAACAACAAGAAAAAATTTCTAACATTCTATATTAATAATAATATCTACTTCTTAAGTAGTGGGCTTCCCTGGTGGCTCAGAGGTTAAAGCGTCTGCCTGGAATGTGGGAGACCCCGGTTCGATCCCTGAGTTCGGAAGGTCCCCTGGAGAAGGAAATGGCAACCCACTCCAGTACTCTTGCCTGGAGAATCCCATGGAGGGAGGAGCCTGGTAGACTACAGTCCATGGGGTCACAAAGAGTCGGACACGACTGAGCTTACTTTTGAAGTAAGCATTTATTGCTGCCAGGATTCTTGCTAACTAACTCCTTGAGTACATTATTTTTAGGCCTTATACTAACTTTGCACCACCAGTATTATTATGACTTGTATTTCTACTAAGGACCAGAGAGGTTAAATAGCTGTAATGGAGGTTAAATAGCTGTAATGGAGGTTAAATAGCTAAGATCTCCTGGAGGAGGAAATGGAAACCCACTCCAGTATTCTTGCCTGGAAAACTCCATGGACAGAGAAGCCTGGTGGGCTACAGTTCATGGGATCACAGAGTCAGGCACGACTGAGCACAGGTCTCAAAGTAGGTTTTGCACCCACATCTCTCCAGTCCCAGAGCAGGGACTTGTAACTACTGAACGTAACTGTTTCTGCAGGACTCAGCTTGGGGACAAAGGGCAGAGCTTGGACTCTGCCACCCCTCCGGGGCTTGTATCTGGGAGTGAGGGATGTGCCTCCCAGAAAGAGACTCCAAGCGTGCACGAAAATGAACAACGCAGAGCTGTCCCAATGCTGGGTTTGGAGGCCACTGTGGAACGCTGCAGTCATACTCAGGACCTCTCCTAGTCAGGCCAACATCTTCCCCCATCTCAGCAGTTCTGAAAAGTAGGAAGCATGAGAACCACTCTCTCTTTCTCACCAGGAAGACCAAAGCAGCAAAGAGGTACTGGTTTGGATCTTCAGAGAACCGGAGATGAGATCTCTCGCCCCTGTCTGGGCCAGGGGAGGGCACAGGAGCTGAGCCGAGGAGCCCAGATGACAGTGGCAGAGCCGAAAGGGGCGGCAGCACCGTGTCACGTTTGGTTCAGCATTTCCTCCATCTCACTCGGGGGTCAGCCCCTCTAGAAGCTATGAGCCCCCTCAGGGAGGGATGCTGGCCAAGAAATTTCTTGCCAAGCCAACTGCCGCTGATATCCATCTCCACAAAGGGCAGCTGGAGTGTGAGCTCATTTAATCCTTGAAACAGTTCTTGCGAGGTAGATACCCACATCCCCATGTTTTAAAAGAGAATAACTGATGCACAGATAGGTTACATAATTTGCCCAAGGTCACACAGCTTATTCTGGGGTTCAGATCCAAGCAGCCTGATTATAGAGTGCCTGCTCTTAACCACTGAACAATCCTACCTCCCTAGACCCAGCGGCTTTGGTGAATTCCTCAGCCCTGGACCAGACAGCATGGGGGCGGAGGGTGCATACAGGCCTGGAAAGCTGGCTTTTTATGACAACTTCTCTCTCTTACTCTGTTCCTGCAAGTAACTGGAAACACTTTTGTGCTAGGCAAAAAAAACCAAAACAAGTGGTTTTGGAATCTTCATTGTGTTGCCTCTTTCAGGCTCACTCAGGGCTCATCCCTCCCCTAAGGGGCAGATGGCCCCGCGGGCTCCTCCCAGCGCTCCTCTCTCCCCTGGTGACCTGCTTTTCCTTCTCACCTCCCAGCCTCTGCTCTGCCTTCAGAAGGCAGTTCAGCTAACACTCATTAACACATGCTAACAAGCATCAATTCATTTCTCAGTCACTCAGCGGGAGAGGCGAGAAAGGTGGGGACAAGCGACCACTCTGGGGGTGGGTGATGGTCCACAAGGACAGGGCAGCCCCCCAGGCTCAGGCCCCCGGGAGAACGGGAAGGAGCCCAGTTCCCAGCTGGGGAGACCTGTCAATATTCTCGGGCTGTACCCTCAGCAGCTACCTCCATCTTCTCTGAGACCTGCATTTTCAGATCATTCCTAGGTCAGTGTGGGACCCTCTGGGCCCACCAGCCTCAGCAAATTCCCATGATGCCCATAGGTGGGCGTTGGCTAAGACCTGGGACAGGAGGATCTAGTTCATGGGCAAGGGCCTGTCCCAGGGGCTAGTGGGCATCAGAAGGTGGAGGGAGGTACCCAGGTGAGGGCAATCAGTGGAAGCCCCTCCTCCACTCCCTGGGGGTCGCTGGACCCTCCCTGGGGGTTGCTGATTCCAGCCAACCCCAGTAAAGCCTAGAGAACCTCGGCTTCTCCCCAAGCTTCGGCCATTAAGGGACCATGATCCAAGGAAAGAAAGCTGGGCAGGGCGAGTCATTTGAAGCCCCAAGTCCCCCCATCAGAAAAGCGGTCCCTGGTCTTCCTGCTGCGGAAGGGTCAGACGAGACAACGCATGACAAAGTCCTAGAGAAGTCCGAAGTGCCAGGGCTAAAGATCTGTCAAACTTTTATTATTACTACTGCTGGTGGTGGTGGTGTTACTAGTTATTTATTGCCGCTGCTAGTGAGGATAGGTGGTGGCTGTTCTCAAGATGATCAGAGAGAGGGGGAGGGGAGGCAAAGGCAACCTCTCCTTTGCACTTGAGAGCCTTCTCCCTGTCCAGGTCCAGAGTGGTCTCAGCACAGATAGGCATCCCCACCCAGAAAACCCCTGCAGAACCCCTGGGCGGCCGCCGCCCCGCTGAGACGCAGGCCGATTCTCTGAGCGCGCGCGCCCTCTGCTGGCTGCGGGGCGCGGGCGCAGCCTCTGGATTGTATATAAACGCAGCGTGGCGCGCAAGACCTGGCGAGTGCAGGAGCGGAGCCGGCGCGCAGGGAGAGCGCGGTGCTGCCTGAGGTCTCTGAGCGGCTCGCCATGGCTGGCCCACAGCAGCAGCCCCCTTACCTGCACCTGGCCGAGCTGACGGCGACCCAGTTCCTGGAGATCTGGAAGCACTTCGATGCAGACGGTCAGTAAAGCTCCAACTTGTGTGCCCGCTCGCCGCCAGGAGACCAGCAGTGGAGGGAAGGGGTCAGTGATGATGTGGGCAGGTGTTAGATTGCGCCCAGGGCATGTTTTGGCCGCAGAACCTGCTGAGGTCGGGGTCCTGAGTTTGGAAGACACGTCGCTGCCCAGTAACAACTGTCAGGAACTTTTCTCCCCTGACAGAGCCCACCGGCTTTTGCAGCCTCATTCTGGGCAAGTTGGGGCTTTCCCAGACAGGACGCCTGTGCTGGCAAGGCTCCCCAAGACTCCCCCTGCCATTTTATCTTCCCCCACCTTCCCTTCAAGGTAACAGCCTGCCTTCAGAGGCTGCAGCCACAGGTCTCAGAAGCCCACTCATTTCTTCCCCCAAGTTCCCCTTTTGTTGAATACCAGGTTAGCCAAGTAGGTGTCCAGGGCGCTGGGGCAAGCTGGGGGCTGCTGAAGGGACACCCGTGGCCTCCCCAGCCTGTTTGGAATGAGGAGGAATGGAGAGGACAGCCGGGCAGTGAGCATCCCCTGGGCTTCCTCTGCCATTTTCCATCCCTCACTGGCGTGCAGGTCCCACTCACAGCAGCAGTGGGTGTGGTGGGGGGCAAGCTTGGGGTGCCAGCCTGACATGTTCTTTCAGGGTGCTATTCCTGGGTGCTTTGGGTGACTCCTTCCTTCTCTGGGTCAGGGGAGGCACCATCTTAAATGCCTCAGTGACTGACTCTCTGGTCTGTGTGGTCTTGATACTGACTAACCAAAAACCAAGGGCTGGACTGAATGACTTTGGCAGTTGGCTCTAGGGATTCCAAGGGTCTAGGATGGTCTGACTCAGGCATAAAGGGAGGTCCCCTTTTAGAGGCTTGAGATATCAGTAGAGACTTTTTTCTCTACCACTCCCCTGGAGAAGGAAATGGCAACCCACTCCAGTATCCTCGCCTGGAGAATCTCATGGGCAGAGGAGCCTGACGGGCTACAGTCCATGGGGTTGCAAGAATCAGACACGACTTAGCGACTAAACCACCACCCCTACCCCCACCCCAACTTAAGTGATCCTATTTCCTTCTCACAAGTGCTGCCTGGGGTGGGCATACGAAATGTTCTGGTATCTCACACCACTGGCAGGATGGTGGTCCAGGGTGTGTATCCTGGGACTGAGAGCAAAGGGGGTGGGAACCAGAAGGAGGATCAGGTGGAGGGTCCCTCCATTCTTCTCCCTTCCCTTCCTTGCCTCAGCAGGGTGGATGGAAAGGTGGCTAAACAGGTACCTTGCACCAGAGTGCTGTAGAGAGGCAGGGGTTAATGGGTATGATGATGAGTGAAGTTCTGTTCCCTAGGAGCCAACAAGAAATCAGGGTGAGAGGCTGTGTGATCTGCCTATGAATTACTGAAGGAGGAGGGTAGATTGTTAAATCTGTAAAATGGGGCTAAGGAGGGGTTGTGTCTCCAGTCCATGGCTGGTGCCATAAAACTCCCTCGGGGGCAAGGGCTATGAGAAGACTGTCTCATATTCCAGGTGACATGACAGCCCCTAAGGCTTCTCCTGCCAGTTTATCTGCACCGGAGGCTTGCATGATTCAAGGAAAGTTACCAAGTGGCCAAGGTTATACCACCAGCCTCCTGCCAGATGAGTCAGCTATAAACAGAGGGCTCCACAGTTCTCCTCTCCCCCTGTTCTCACAGAGACAACCAATAGCACTCTCGATAATCAGGCAAACCCTCACACTTGTCTGAGACTTTGTACTTTTCAAAACACAATCACACCTTCTTGAGTTCCACACAGAGAGGCTCTGGGCAGATCATGACTCTCCTCATGCAGATGAGGGAACAGACATGAAGTGTGACTTTTCTAAGGTCATGGAGCAAAGTGGCCCCTGGCCAGTGCTTATATCCCCACTCTGATATCTGGACACCTGCTTCCCCTGCCATTCACTCACAGAAGAGCCCCTGACCCAGCCTTGGAGGCGATAGGCAGTTCTTTCAATACTAGAAAGGGGTCCTTCGCATGGCTGGGCATAGTTAAGCTAGCATGCGGCCAAAGAGTCATTAAAGATCCCAAACCACTGTGCCTCTGGCTCCCTTCTGCTCCTCCATGAAGGGAGCTAGCTTGCTTCTTGGTTCGTTGTCTCACTTGGCATCCCACTGCCCTCTCTGATCACTGCTTCGGGGAAGTGCCAAGGGGGGACCATGGACCTCACAGAGAAGGAAGGCACAGGAGATTAAAACGCCAGAGATGGTAGAAAATGATGCTACAGCCAAACTGAAATTCCCCTAAAGGACCCAGGATTATCCTGTGGGTCACCTTGCTCTGGATCTTCGCTATCTGTCCCCTCCTGAACTCTCAAGGCTGCCAGTGAGCTTTCCTCTCACCCATGAGGTGCTCCCTGCCCTGGCCGGGCCTCCTCTTACTAACTCTGGCTTCTGTTTTTATCTTGGGCTTCTTCCCGACTCTCCTGCCACTCAGAGTTAAAGACCTCTGGGCAGACTCAGCTCACCAGGTCCCTGGAGTGAGCTCGCCGGGGCCCAGTTAGTCCCCGCCACTAGGGAGCATCGGCCCACCCCTGCTGGGCTGTAGTAAGCAGAGACCAGGAGTCCGGAGGAGAGGCCAGACTCGAGGAGAGTGAGGACGAGGCAGGGGATCTCACCCTAACTCAGCCCATTTCTAACAAGGAGGAAAAGCCATCATCCTGGTGACTTTGCACAAAGATAGTATCTTTAAGACTATCATCAGCCTGGTGGTGGAGAAAGGAAGGAGCGGGTGTCTGGAGAGGGGGAAACTGGGACTCAAAGAGGCACCATTCTTTTCACAATACCACATCGCAAAGTGAGAGGGCGGGGGACCCAGGAATCCTCTCCTAGCCCCCCTCCCCGCTCCTCCTCAGTGGCCAACCAAGGTCATGCACTTGGAAGGGTTCGGGGGTCATCTCTCAAAGGCAGAGGTAAAGAAGACAGCAGCCGAGCGCACTCTGTGAGCCTGGCTGAGCAACCTTTACGTGCCCTACATGACTGAGTCCAGAAACTGTTGTTTCCTGGTCACTTCTTTGTCAGAACCTTTCTCCCTGTGCAAGATTCAGGCTTCAGAGAGATGCCCAGTTCCAAGCTGATGCTGGCCTGTCTGTGGTTCTGACCACCTGGCCACCAGGCTCCTATTCTGCTGACCATCAGGAGGGCGTCTGTGAGGAGCCAAGATCTGCCCTTGGCCTTTGCTACTCTTTGGAAGCTGATGCAAGTGTGGGGATAACTTTCTCTCCCAGAGGCCAACAGACATTCACAGGTCAACGCAGGGAATCCCACTCATCCCAAGGAGCATCCTACACAGGATATACTCATGCATATACATAAAGCTGTATGAACACAGGGGTCTATTACCAAGTTCTTTGGGATACTGAACTTTTGAGAAAGAATGTGCTTCCCTAGGGAAGAGGAAAATAAACCCTCTAATCTATACAGTGGAATATTATACAACCAATGGGACTGAGATGGGGCTTTTATACTGACATGGAAAAACATCCAAGATGTATTACCGACATTTTTTTTAATTGCAGCATGACACTATTATAGTATGAGCCCATTTTTACTATTAATGAAACAAGTATGATGAAAAATATTAGAATGAACATAACAACAGTGGTCTTCTCTGCAGAGCAGATGATGTCAAAAAGGCATTTTCTTTAACTTTTGATGTTAATTTCTATAGTGTTTTACAAGAGCCTGTGTTTCTTGTATAATTAGCAAAATAATAAAAAGGGTCAAGAAGAAAATAATTTTATGGGCACTGCCCCCCGAAAGAAACACATCTCTCTCTCCAGGTGCGGGCCTCTGCCCAGAGTTTTCTAGGCCTCTGTCTGCCTCCAGATGGCCCTGGTGATGCGGGAGGCTCTCAAAGCCTTGCACAGGGCCTGTGCCTCGTTCCATATGGTGTGGCCACAAGGAGTGAAAACTACCGAGAGGGAGGACCACCAAGAACCAAGGAAGGCCCTGCCTGGTCTTCTCACCTCTCTCCACACGGGTAATAACAGAAGCATCCTCGCAGCCCACCCCCTCCGGGGAACACTGGCCGGCCGGCCGGAGAGTGGCCAGGCCAGCTCTCGGTCACCGATGCACGTGTGTCCCTGATGGGGGAGCTGAGGAGAGCTAAAGAGCAGTGCCTCTCAGAGGCGGAGAGAGGCCTGGGCAGCTTGCACTGGGATTCTCAATGAAGGCTTTTAAAATACTGAAAAGAAGACCTCTGTGCATAAAATAGGGCTTCCCTGTGGCTCAGATGGTAAAGAATCTGCATGCATTGCAGGAGACCTAGGTTCGATCCCTGGGTTGGGAAGATCCCCTTGAGGAGAGCATGGCAACCCACTCCAGTGTTCTTGCCTGGAGAATCCCCACGGACAGAGGAGCCTGGCAGGCTGGAGTCCATGGGGTCACAAAGAGTCGGACACGACTAAGCAACTAAACGCAGCACAGTGTATAGAAGAGATAACTAATGAGAGCCTACTGTCGATCACAGGGGATTTTACCCAGTGCTCTGCGGTAACCTCAGTGGGAAGGAAATCTAAAAATGGGTGGATGTATGTATAACTGATGCACTTTGCCGCACAGCAGAAGGTAAAACAACAATGTAAGGCAACTATGCTCCAATCAAACTTGATAAAAGGGAAAAGAAGACTTGCCCAGAAAGGGTTACAGAGTATCCTGTCCCAGGCATTTACACAAACACGACGGCTGCTACTGTGCCACACGACTGTGCTGTCACAAGCTGATCGTAGGGTATATAAAAATGACTGCTTCTTGGAACGTTAAAGTCAGAGGGGTCTGATACCAGGAGGGAGCCAGCCCTGTCTGAAGGTGGTTTTCTTTTAACCCTGTCGGCATTTCTCTGTGGGGCCCACGTGTCCCACTTGTGCCTGAGGTCGGGATTTGAGGTTCTTTGGGAGCAGTGTCCTGCCCCACCTGGGTAAGCCCTAAGAATAAGGCCCCCACCCCACCTCTGCTTTCACCCCCAAGTCC